AAAAACAGAATTCAGATTCCTTTCTCTCATTTTTTACGAGTTCCTCTCTGCCTCTCATCTCTCCTCTCTCGGTGGTCTTTTCAATCTATCAATTTTTGCACACCAAAAATTAGCCCCTGTTGATGAGAAATTAATTCAACCTTGTGTAGATAATCTTGAGTGATTTAACAAGGTGTATTGGTGTTATTCTTGAGTGAATGCCATTGTCGAATGTATAGAGGCTTATGTTGAAATAATCTTGAGTGATTATTGTATAGGCTTCGATTCATCATTCTTGAGTGAATGTTGTCGATTTATGAGGCTTAATTTTGGGGAAAATTTTGTGTGATTTTCTGCTGCGTGCCAAAAGATTGTACTGGACAGATTCGTTGATTCCATTGATATAGTGATTTCTTCCGTTTGACGGAAGCTCAAAAGGGGATTAGGAACGAAGTTCCGAACCTCTTGCCTTAGGGCGAAAATACCGTGTTCTTCATTGTGTTTTTTTTTTTTTTTTTAGTTTTCAGTTTTTGTGATTTTTCGTTTTTTTGTTGACTTAAGTGGGCTGATTTCTTGAACTTCTCGTAACAGTATATTCACTGTGGTTTTTTTTTTTGCAGAGTGCAGGAAGAATGGCAACGTCAACGCTGAACCCTAACGCGCCGATATTTGTTCCGTCGGCTTACCTTGCGGTGGAGGATTTTTCTGACCAGTGGTGGGATCTGATTCAATCCTCCTCCTCATTTCGAGACTACTGGCTCCGAGAGTGCTTTTCCGATCCCCAAATCGACAATCCTGATCCTAATTATTCTAATTTTCTGGTCTCCGGAGATATAGACAGTTTCATTTTCGACGATGGCATCTTCAAAGGTAACTCCATCAAAGGCAAGTGTAGTAGAATTAAACACCGAGTTGACCCACTTATTGACTCAGTTCATGAGTGTGTGTGTGTGTTTTGGTTCCTTGTTGAGTCGGGAGTGTTTTTCTTTTATCTACAGAGGAAGAGGGGAAGTTGGACTTGGTGACGCTGGGGCAGTTAAAGTGGAGGAAGGCGCGTGGCGGAATGGAGATGCCAAGGTACTGCGAGAAGGCGCCGAAGATCGTGAATGTGAAGGTTTACCCGAGGCCGATTCAGCAACCGCGTTAGAGTGAGTTGTTTGTTATATATTTATGGTATAAATATAAAATGTGAAAGAAATAATCAAATTAGATAAAGTGTCAAAGTGGTGGGAAATGTGACATTTGTGTGGGATGTCAGGGGTTCGAATCACTCCCCACGCAAATATTAAAATGTCTTGATTTGGGCCTTGGGGCCTTGGGCTCTTGGACTTCCTTGACTAAAATAAATATTTTTTTTCTTCATTATTTAATGGGTAAAACTAGCCAGTATTTTATGACTGTTTGTTTTTGTAACAACCCACTAACTGCCATTAAAACACCCACTACTCAGTCATTAAAATTCTGCATTAACATGGTGAAGACTGTTACTACCATCTTGTCTATATAAACCCATATCTTGCTTTGGGAAAAGACACACAAATAGAAAATAGAATCAATCACTCTTTTCATATTGTGAATTTCTTATATTCGGATTTTTATACCTATTCTGGAGTACAATTGAGAGTTCTAGAAAAACCATTCGTGATTGCTGCATAAGTGGTTTACGATCGTTGTATCCTGGGAGTGATTGTCCACGGAGGTCACATCAATTATTGACGGGAGTGAAGATTTGACACAATATCTTTGCTACTTGATATCATATTGAATTACCTCATCAAAAAATTTAAATTCGGAGAGAGAGAACATGTTTATTTTAGATTTTATCTTCAATAGTTTGAGGATAGGATATTTTTACCTTCAATCTTCTTGATTGTCTTCAAGATCTTCTTGATGCACTCATCACAGTGTAAGCCCACCTTCAACTCCACTACCTAATGACACACAAAATGGAGCATGAGTGAAACTGTGACAATAAGAGATAATTATTGTGTGATAATATACAGTTTTGAGGAACTTACATTAGCCATATTCTCTTTTTGAGTATGAAGAAATGCTTGTGGTGATATTTTGTAATTCTGAACCAAAAAAATTAACTGGTGAGAACTATGTTGACAGGAAGGATAACTAAAAAAAATATACTTGGCCCGATAAACCTGCTGAAGAGTCGATTTTCTAGTTTCTTGATAGTTGCAGGTTCCCTTGGTAACTAGTTGGAGGAGATGTTGTTGCAGTGGTGAATGATTGGCTTCGGGTGCATTTCTTGCATTTAAACATAAAGTTATGGGGAGGACGTGATTCCTTATTTGTTTGTGAAGAGAACTATACTTTGTTAAAAGCACCTTTAACTCACTTTTCTTGACTCAAGGCTCATCATCCTCCGCTGGAGGTGGCAAATGTTGATGACAGGTCTTAATGGGACTTAGGGCTCGTTCTCTTTGTTGTTTTCATACTATTTTCAGTTTTTAATTTTTGAAAGCACTGAAAACACGTTTACTTACCTATTTTCAAAAATGAATTTTCAAAAATGCGGAAAAAAATTACAAAGAAAACGCAAAATGGCCTTTTAGTCGTTTTGGTTGTTTTTAGTAGAAATCAAGCCAAAACTTCCAAATGCGGAAAACGCGGTATTTTTGCAAATAGCAGGATAGCTCAGTTGATTGAGTCAAGAATTTTCTTAAGGTCAAGAGTTCAACTCTGTTTCATCGCAATTTAGTACAAAGGAATTTTCTTTTTATATGCACAGTACAAGAAATTTCAATTAAATTTCACGTTCATTCTTATCAATAGCCGGATAGCTCAGTTGGTAGGGTTTTGGATTTTGAGATAATCATGAGTTCGATTCCATCAGCCTACTTTCAATACAAAGGGTTTTTTTTTTTTTATTTAATGCACAATATAAAAATCGTTCAAATAAATAGGTAGGCAACCGAGATTCGAACATTGGTCACCAACATGGACTTTTAATGCCTTAACCAATATGGCAACACTTTTGCTTTGTTGTATAAATAAATAAACTATATATATATTGAATAATTGCTTTTACAAATTTTCAAAACTAGAAATTAAACGTGTTTTTTAATTTTTTATTTTTCAAAACGATTTTTCAAAATGACAAAAAGAACACGTTTTCAACAATCTTAAAATGGATACTCAAAATACAAAATCCAAAATGAATTCAAAACTCAAAACTAAAATGTGAAACGCAAAGAGAACAGCCCCTAAATTTTCTTTTGTTCACGTTTAGAAACATATCAACATGGAAAAAGATAAAGGGACAGGGGCGCCTAATTGGTACACTGGATGGCGTGGCCCTATTTGTCCAGCATCCCCCAATCAACATTGTTATTCGCCTGAAATTAGGGATGGCAATGGATCGAGCGAGCCGAGCTCGAGCTCGGCTCATTGCTTGGGCCACGAGCTCGCAGGTCGAGTCGAGTCGAGCCGAGCCCACGAGTCGATCGTGAGCTCGTGATTTTTTTAATTTTTTTGGTAAATTTGCACATTTTAGACCCTTTTTTAATTTTTTTTTATATTTTTTGATGAGCCCACGGCTCGTGGGCTTGACAAAATAGCCGCTTGTGGACTCGACGAGCCGAGCCTGCCCGAGCTACCCACGAGCCGGGTTTTGATTAGCCAAGTGGTTGAGAGCCGACGAGTCGCTCGACCCTTTTGACATCCCTACTTGAAATCTTGGTGTTTTTGTTGGGTTTTAATGGGCCACTGGGAAAAGGCTCTACCTATTTTCGGCCCAGTCCTTGAATTTTGAGGATAGAAGCTCTGTCCATTATGTTTGGCCTACTGATCTTCTCATAGGTATTGAATTCAATAAAGATGGGTTTGAGATTTATAAGCAGGAAAAATTCAGATCTCAGGCTTTATGTATGGGCTAATTCAATTTTAAGATAACAAGTTTACAATTTTAAAATTCGGGTGATTAATAAATAATTTAATATATTTATTAAGGTCATAATTATACAAATTAGATCAAGGTTGCGTACTTATAGATCACATATTATCAAATTAATTGGTCACAAATTATTTCTCGATCACAAATCAAAAATTTATAAGTCCCAATTTATTTATCAGTCACAAATACCAATTTTATAAGTTACAATTTATTTCACGGTAACAAATTATCACATTAGTTAAAGTCGCAAGTTATTTCTCAGTGACAAATTATCGAATTATTTGGTAACATATTAAATAGTTGATCACAAATTAAACAAATAGTTGGTCACAAACCACAAACACCCCAACCTATCGCTAATCCCACTATCGATGCCAATACTTTGGTCACAATCACCTAAATACTTATTTACAAACACACTTTATCCTACTCCCACCCCAACTAAAAACCATGTCATAACCACCGCCACAATTTGTGACCACCACATCATCAGTGCCACACCATTGTCGCCACCTTTGTACCACTTCCACCAAATCCACCACTTGCACTACCACAAAACCCCAATAACACCAAACATGGAAACCACCACTGACACTCCAACAACCAACCCTCCCCACGCCCCAAAAAAAAAAAAAAAAGAAAAAAAAAAAAAAAAAAACCCCCCCAAACAAAAGT